TTTAATCATTTTTCTCAAATTTCTTAAATCTAGATTGCAAATTTATTGACTTGAGCAAAAAAAAAAATTTTAATTCATGCTTTACCTGATATTCTCCGTCAAAATAATTGTAAAAAATTGAAAAATATAAATATTTAATGAACAAATGAAAAAATAAAGATATGAAAAGAATCATCTTCAGATTTTTTAAAAATGAAAATGACGAACTTTTTTTTTTTGTCATTTTTATCATTTTTGATTTTAATATTCCGGACCAAAATTTTCAAAAAAATTAAAAAATAAGATTATTCAAGAAATAAATAAGAAAATAAAAAATCCGAGATAAATCATCTTTAGATTCGTGAAAAATGAAAACATGACATTTTTTTGATTTTGATTTTGATTATTTTTTACTTTGATATCCGGCACCAAAATTTTCAAAAAAATAAAAAATTGAGGATATCTAACGATCCGACTAACAAATTTAAAATAAAAAAAATATCATCTTTAGATTTTTCAAAGACGAAAAGGTGACTTTTTTTTTTTTTTAATAATAATCATTTTACTCGCAGATATACGTCCCAGAATGCTCTAAGCCAAAATTAAAAAAACTAACTGAAATAATTTTTTTTGGATTTAAAAATAAACTAAATTTGAAAATTTCATATGTATGAAACGATAGGAAACACGGTGAGAGTTTCCCAAAATTTAATTTTTAATGTAAAAAATTTTTTATTAACAAAAAAAAAATTTGTTTATTATCATCATCTGTAGGTAAGTCAACGACAAAAACCATTTATAATTTGGTAAACTCGAAAAACTTAAATTTCGCTTGTAGATATCCCTATCTGAAATTTTATTTTGTCTGCTATCCGCTAACTTCAGGGTCATTATTTTGTAACCGTTTTTTCTCGCATGGATTGATTATCGATCAATCGTTTTTGATCTGTCACTACATTACATTATAATCACTAAAGACTAAAATACTCACCCATTAGGTGGCGCCGTGGTTTAAATATGAGTTATATGAGAACCATTTTGTGATTCATTCGTAAATTCACAAATAGTTTTATAATTTTCGTTGTCATAAAAAAATATAATAAATATGTAAAATAAACATATGTACCAGTGAAAAATACCTGGATTTTTGTGTTCAAGATCAAGAATGTAAAAAAAATTACTTTGAGAGACATATATTGATATAAAATTAAAGTATTTTAAAAAAAGGTTCTCATCTTTAGTATTTGATGTGCAATAAGATTGGCCGCGGCATCTTGTGGAACTAAAGTTTTAGCAAAGTCAATTTATACGAATTTTTTTACTGGCTGATAAATTCTATAGTAAAAAAAAAAAAAAAACAATTTTTTTTTAAAGTAATAAAGTTTTTTTTTAGGTAGGTTAATAAATTAATATATAACAAAAGTTTGTATTTATCGAAAGGTTCATACTTATGGCAATGATTTAGTTATTAACTATCAAAATAATAACTTGTTGGGATTTATTTCAGAGTGTGTGTATACTAAACTATATATACCAATGGAAACGCATGTTTAGCATTTGAGTTTTCTATATGTTTGATTTGATACAGCAATCCATTGATGTATTTGGAGTAGCGAAGGACGATGAACGACACCTTTCAAATAACACATAAACGTGATAAGTGTTCTCTGCCGCTGTTATCAGGAATTAAAAAAATTTTGCGGTTAAGATAACGAGCCCATAATTAGAGTGTTCCGACCAATAATGAATGTGATAAGTAATTTTATAATGTATTTGTAAATTAGTGAAGTGAATATATTTTTATTACCAGCGGTTTTTGATGTAACATTTTTCACGCCTAGCTGTCACTGTAATATTTAACGAACGATATTGTTTTACAGTAAAATATTAATCAAACAACGATTTATAGCATTTAAAAAATGAGTCTCAGTATATCGAAATTTTTTTCGAAAAAGAAAACAACTACTGACAATAGTGTCGCTGAAATAGGTTTGCCTACAAATGTTTTTCATCAATTCCATGTAATTAAAAATGAAGAAACGGGCCAACTCGAAGGATTACCAGATCCTTGGATTCGTTTACTCAACACTCAAATTTCAAAATCAGAACAAGATTCACACCCAGCTGCAGCTCTTCAAGCAATTAAATTTTATAATTATTCGATAAAAAAAAAGCCTGTTGAAGAAGTTTTCAAGCCATTTGTTACTGAAGATTTAATTGAAGAAGAATCCCAGGAAATTGATCAAATTTTGATGAAAAAATATAAATCAAATGATTCCCAAAGTTCTAATTCTGCTAGTATTGACGGTCAGGAGCATACTGTGCCAGAGTTACCAAAAAAAATTAGTAAACCTCCGAAGCCACTTCCGAGAAAGCATACCGAGCGTGTTGATAAAACTTTGACAGAAATTTTAGAAGATCTCAATGCTTATCAATTAGACGACAGTAGTTTGACGGAAGACAAAGAAACAATTGAAGAAGAAAGTCCTGTTCTTCGTAAAAAAAGTGACAGTTCATTAGAACGTATGACTGATGAAGAGGTGTATGAAGAATTGAGAAATATTTGTCAGTGTGACGATCCTAACAAACGCTTTGAAAAAACCAAAGAAGTTGGAGCCGGTGCATCAGGAACTGTATTTATAGCTACTGATTTAATTTACAATCAAAAAGTCGCAATAAAAGACATTGATTTGTCTAAACAGCCAAAGAAAGAACTTATTTTGACAGAAATAAAAGTTCTTAAAGAATTTCAACATCCTAATCTTGTTAACTTTTTAGATGCTTATATAGTTGATGAGCATTTATGGGTTGTTATGGAGTTATTACAAGGAGGACCTCTTACAGATGTTGTTACTGAAACAGTTATGAAGGAAGTACAAATAGCCGCAGTTTGTCGCGAAGTTTTAAAAGCCATAAGTTTCCTTCATTCCAAGGGCATTATTCATCGAGACATTAAATCTGACAATGTTCTATTGGGAATGAATGGCGCTGTTAAAGTTACTGACTTTGGTTTCTGTGCCAATATTGATGGAGATGAAAAACGACAAACTATGGTAGGTACACCATATTGGATGGCTCCAGAAGTAGTCACTAGAAAGCAATACGGAAAAAAAGTAGACATCTGGTCTCTAGGTATCATGGCCATTGAAATGATTGAAGGTGAACCACCTTATTTAAAAGATACACCTTTGAGAGCATTGTATTTGATCGCTGCTATCGGGAAACCTTCCATTCCTCGTTGGGACAGTCTTAGTCCAACATTCCAAAATTTTTTAGAAAAGTGCCTTACTGTTGAAGTTGATGAACGGGCTACAGCTGACGAATTATTAGCTCATCCTTTTCTTGAAAATTGCGCTGAACTTTCGTCACTTACTCCACTCATTCGAGCAGCTCAGAAAATTCTTCGCAAAGCATTCTGATGTATAATCAATAATCTAAAAACATTTTTTAAAATTATATCAATGTGTGATAAATTTTTATGTCTAATTGGTAGTCAGGTTATCTAATTTCATGCCATCATCTTTATATGTTGATTGAGGTGCAATTAATAATACCATTAATCACACTAATTATTATATGTAAGAAAGTTTTTTTTTTTTTTTTTTCAATGATTATTCTACTAAAAAAATATATGTATAGACTTTTTTAAATTTAAGAATAATTTATAATTGTAAAAATGAATTCCATGTGAAAATGAAGAGTGCACTCTTCACTAGATGTATTAAATAAGAGTATTAAGTAATTGAATGGTTGAATGAATCAATGTATTAAACGTTTTATAAATACTTTTGATTGCTAATTCGAAGTTTAAAAATAGTTTTTTATGAAAATTTACTGTTTTTATTTTAATGATATTAAAATATTAAATAAATTTAGTTTAAAAAGCTTTAATATTGCTCAAATTTAAATTTTTTATAAGCGATTTACCAAGGACATCCAATATGTAAAAATTTTTATCAATAAATGATTCAGTTCGGTTCAATTTTTCATTTAAGTTTATAATTTATTTTTTTACTGTTTTAATTTTTTATTTATAACTTTAATCATTTTTTGGATTAACACAGGTTTCAGGCAAGGTGAGTAATTTTACAAATTTTAAACGTTTAACAAATATTTTATTTACAAAGCATAATTATTTTGTTCTCAAAGTTATTCCAATCATTTAAAATAAATTAGACATCAACAAGTTTATTCAATATTGAATTGTACAATTGCATAATTAAAAAAAAAAAAATTTCAATGTTACTTTATAAATTGAATTGCATCCGATTTTAATATCTCAATATAAGTTAAAAAAATTTTTAATTATTATTGAAATCAACAGCTTAAATGTTAAACATTACAAGCCAAATAAATTTTCTAAATTCATTGATTTTTTTGACTTTTTTTTCTACCTTTCAAATGTTCAGCAGTTTATTTAAATATCAATATACATTTTCCTGATTAACTTCTCAATCTTAAAAATAAATCATAGGTTCATCTAGATTTTATCCTATAAATTAACATGTTTTAACATGGCTATTACTGAAATTATAATCAAAATCAGTGATGTAATAATAATATATGAAGCAGATGACAATTGTATACTCACCGATCATGGAGACCGACGTACAATGGTTAATGATTGCTTCCAATAGAACGGAATGACGGATTTTCTAATCTCGATCTGAGAACTGATAAGAAATTAGCAGCTTGATCTTCACTAATTGCTCTACTGTCGTAAGACAGAGTGGCACTCATCATCGATTTCTTTCTAAGACTAGTATCTAAAATAAGTAACAAGTTTTATTAATATTATCATTATTTATGTAGCGAAGATGATATTAATATAATAATTTACCTAAAACATCACGACCTGTTCCAACAGCAAGTATGGCTGTTTGAGGAGGATTTATAATAGCTGAGAATTCTTTGATTCCAAACATTCCAAGGTTGGAAATTCTGAAAATAAATTATTCGATATGTAAATTTAAAAAATAACTTTATTGTTAAAAAATAGTAAATATTTACTTACGTAAAAGTACCGCCTTGAAATTCATTAGGTTTCAAAGTACCTTTTCGAGCTTTGTCAGCTAATGATTTTACATCGTTTGAAATATCTGTTAAACTTTTTTTAACTGTATCGAAAATAATTGGCGTTATTAGACCAGTAGGTGTTGAAACTGCAATTGATACATCGACATTTGGTATACGGGTGACCTATAAAAAAAAATATATTAGTGAATTATCTATCTAATTAAGAGAGTAAGTAAACCCGATTCGATGGAAGTTCAGCAAATAAAAACTCAGGCCAAAGAAGAAAGATCTAAGTAAATAAAATTAATTTTAAATTTATTTAATTAATAAAATGATTAAATATCATAATTGTTCTTTTAAAAAAATAAAACTCCAAAGGATGTAAACTTTTCAAATTTTCTTAAACTTTTATGCTCTAAATTTTTTTCATTTAGGCGACAGATAGAAAGGAATAAATTGGCAAAAGAAAAGCAATTACGTGAAGCTGCTGAAAAAGAAAAAGCTGCCATGGAACAACGGTTATTTCAATATCAAGAAGAAATTCGTCTAGCAAATGGAGATTTGGTAAGATGAAAATGATTCATAACTCTTAAGTCTCTTTATTGTTATTTATAGGTGCCCGTCGTAAACAACTCCGGTCAAAACAACTCGCCCTAAATAACTCCGGTCAAAACAACTACTGTCCAAAATGACTCCGTTCTAAAATAACTCCGGACGAAACAACTTCCGACAAAATTACTCCTGACATAATAACTCTATCCCAAAATAATGTTAAAAGGGCGCAACACAATTACAAGCTTATGTGTTGGTATAATGTCGAATAAACACACACAACAACCTTGTTAAAAGGGCGCAACACAATTACAAGCTTCTGTGTTGGTATAATGTCCGGAGTTATTAAATTCAGAGTTGTATTGCCTGAGTTGTTTTGACCTAGCACCTTATTTATATAATTAGGAGAGTAAGAAAAATTTTGTTTCCGGCGTATTTATATGATAAAATGAGTTTTTTAAATTAAATTTAGTATCAATGGAAAGGTCTTGACTTGAATTTGTGTTTTTTCAATGTTTCATATGGTTTTCAGCAATAGTTATTTTATTATGATAAATTTTCGAAGTAGTTATAATAAAATTCGAATTTCAGGATTAATGTAATTTGTTTATTTATTTATTTTGGTTTGTACATGTGAATGTGGTTATAGGTCAAAAATTAATTTATATAATCAAGAGACTAAGAAATAGTAAATTACATACCTAGGCCAGTAAAATAAGAAAAGTCTCAGACCACATGTAATTGTTGGCCGAGGCGAAGCCGAGGTTGACAAACATGTGGTCTGAGGCTTTACTTTTTACAGGCCAAGGTGTGTATACTATTTTTCTGCTCGACGTAGCCGGAATGTGGCAACTTTGTTTAGCGCAGCGGCCAGAAAGTTGCCACTTTCCGGCCGGAGGGCAGAAAAACTTTGTAAAGGGGAATATTTTTATCGTAAATTGGTTTTGATCTTTTTTCAGCGATAGTCACATGATTTAAATAATTGAGAGAGTGTAAGAAAAATTTTGTGATTAGTATATTATTATTTTTAAAGGAATTTTTATAGTTAAATTTGGTATTATCAGAAAGGTCTTGATAAGAATTTGTGTCTCTTGGTTTTATATATTTTTTAGTAATCAATTTTTTTTGTTGTTTTTAGAGTTCTGAATAATTATTTGGTTCTATAAATTTTTTCCATCAAAATTGTCCATTAAATTATTTGTAATTCATTCTGTGATATCACTATTGATTTTAAAATTTTTCTAAACTTTGTTTAGTGTCGTTATAAATATCAAAAAATCATTAAGCCAAAGTTTTCTAATTCATAATCCATAATTCTCGACTGTCGCATAGTGATTGCAGGTTGCTAGTTATAATTAAAAAAAATAAAAATAGTTGATACTTACTTGTTCATTTTTATAAATTGAATTTATAGGCGGACATTGAATGAGTGATTGAGCGACAGCTTGTATAACAAAGTCATTCATGGAGACTTTCAAGTTTTCGGCTTTGAGTTCACTTCGCAATTCATTGAGTTTGTCAATATTTACATCAATCGTTATGTATGAATGAGGAATACTACTCTATTTAAACGTAATAAAATTTTTTACTTTGCTGATTAATAATTAATAATGAAAAATTATAAATCTTTCAATACCTTTGATTCTCCTAGACGTTTCGCAATTACAGCTCTAATATTGGAAACTTCATGATCTGTATAAGTCGATGGACCTGATTTTAGTGGTGCTGAGATTTGTGTTTTGGTAGTTGGAGCTTGTTTACCGGTAGCCGATGGTTCATCTGAAAACAGTTAATCAATTTAATTTAAGAAATTACAGTAAACTTTAAAGTAATACTAAAACGAACCAGCTTTTAAGAACACTTTTTGAATTTTATTGCTTTCGATATGCGCCAAAACGTCGCTTTTTAGCAATCGATTAGGACGTCCACTACCTTTGACAGAACCGCTACTGATTGCGTATTCTTCTAAGAGTCTCTTTACAGCTAAGCCGTAGACTCTGAAATTATTAAAATTTTTATCAAAACACGAAAGTAATTTAAAATACTTTTTTTTTTTTTCATTATTTTTATAGCATCACTTATTGATAGTAAATTAAAAATTATATGATTAAAAATGTAATCCATACTCGATAAAATTTGATGAGCCATTATGGGTCAAGTATTGACACTTATTAATTTTTAAAAATACATACTGATCGCTTGGAGCTGGTTGTCCACTTTGTGACGGTGTAGCTTTTGGTGGTGCAGCAGTACTTGACTCTTTAGCGACTGCTTTCGTGGATGTCGGTATTACGGCAGATTTCCAGTCCATTCCTTTCTCGACTGTTATTGCAATTAATTGACCAACGTCGACCTGAGATCCCTCTTTAACCTGCATAAGTTGTAAGTTATTTTCTAATCATTGTTCAATTTCGATTTTAAGAGGGATAGCCACTGTGATGATTCGAAAAAAAAATTTTTTTGCTTTAAATCAAAGTTTATGCATTCAAAAATATGTGTATAAAATTTTAGATAAAAATTTTGAAAATTTTCGGAGTTATAGTAATTTTAGTGAGAGCAGGTCGACCGACCGTTTTCGCTTAGAGCTTCGATAAAAATGTGCGAATCTGCTGAAAAACGAATTGAAACTGTCAATAAAAAGATTAAAAAAGCCATGGACACCACCGGAGATAAGGAGGAAAAACCTTCATATGGCCCGGAACTTGATACTTTAATTTAACCCTCGAAGTACACACCTCCGAACAGAACTTTAGAGTACACACAGGGTCAAATGGACCCCACTTGACTTTCGAAAAATTCTCGGAAAAATCTCAGAAACTATGCATTTTATCGGAATTCAGGTTATTACATTTTTGGTACGTAAAACAATGCTCTTTTGAATACAATAATTACTATTCTGAATTAAATAGTTTTTAATGTTGAAAAAATTAATTAAAAACGAACCTATTTTCAAGAAATATTTAACTTAAGGATAAAAAAAATTCTGGAGCCAAAATGACTCCCAGTGTACTCCAAAGGTTAAGTATAGATATTTCATGAAATACATGATTTTAGGGTAACATAAAGTAAAATAGACTGACAACTTTAAACGCGTTTTTCTCAAAACGACTTTTTTCAAACTGGTCGCATCAATAACTCAAATAAATATCAACCGATTTTCGAAATTTTTTTTGTTGTGCTTGTCTTTACAGTGATTAAAGTTACATGCAGCTGATATTGAAAATTTTGATTTTAAAAATTTTTTAAGGCTATTTGAATTAAAAAAAAAGGCCAAAAATGTGAACAAATTTTTTCATCGGTCGCCTTTTTTTTCAAATCAAAATAAACAAAATCGGTTACGTGTAACGATAATTACATTCATACAAATTATGACGTAAGTAAAATTTATTTTTTTTGGATGACCTGTTTTTGAGGTAATGTGACCATAGCGGGGGAATTTTTTTTGGAGCTGGACAAGAATGTTAATAACTTTGTAACGATTTGATATTTTTTAATGAAAATTTAGGGGTTCCACGTCAATAATTCTCGGCAATAGCATCTCAGACAAATATATCTCTGCAATCATATCTCAGGACAGAAAGATCTCTAGCCAACAACATCTTCACCAACAAGGCCTCACTAAAAACATCTCATAACAAATTTTTCTCGACTATCAACATCTCATCATTATCATCATTAACGAATATTACAATGATAAAATTTAGCTAATCATAATCAACCTGATTAAATTATTTTTATTAGTGGGGGGGCTCAGCCCCCAACCTCCACCCGGGCTTTGCTCCTGGACCCCAACTTCGGGTCACTCACCACGAGGCGTCAACCACTCACCATGTATCACCTTATCAACAATAATTACACTAACACAAACGTGCGTAATCGTGTTACGCTCTTTTAACATTAAACTTAAGATATTAATCTTTAATGTACATTCAATAGAGCAAACAAAGCCTGATGCCTAAATTTCTTTATATTCCCAGTCAAAAAAATTCCTGAAAATCAGCTATTTCTTCGGCCGTCACAGTAACTATCTTACTATTATAATTTTTCTGCTTAAAAATAAATTTAATAGCTACAATCTTAAAAATTTATCATACATACAAGATATTTTGCTAAGATTGCATCATCTTCCATTTCAAATGTCATAACTGCTTTGTCTGTTTGAATTTCAGCAACAGCATCACCGGGAGATATTTCGTCTCCTTCATTTTTTAACCACTTAACAATAGTACCTGAAGTCATTGTAGGTGACAATGCTGGCATTGCAACGTTAGTTCTGTTAAAAAAAAAAAAGTAAAAATAAAAATCATTCACGAAGAAAATTTAAGCGATGTAATAAAAAATCAATTTTAGATTTTTACTGGCCAGGGGGAGGTTCGACTACTTCATTGCTACTGCTCGAAGGCGCTGAAGCTGGAGCTGAGACTGAAGCAGAACTAGCAGCTGGTTGTCTTGATGCATCAGGCATCTCAACTGATTTCCAATCCTCATCAGGTTCGACTGTCAGAGCAATCACAGTTCCAACTTTTATATCTTTCGTTCCTTCAGCAGCCTAAAAAGCAATATTAATGATTGAGATTTACAATTAATTTAATAAAATTAAAAAAATATGAAAATTCTTACAATGATTTTGGCCATAATACTTTCTTCTTCTGTTTCGAAAGTCATAACAGCTTTATCTGTTTGAATATCAGCGATTGCATCACCAGGTTGAATTGGATCTCCTTCTTTTTTTAACCATTTTACTATGGTACCGGATTCCATAGTGGGTGAAAGAGAAGGCATCGTTATTTCTTTCCCCTTGACTAAAAAAAACAATAAAAATTATTAATCAATAATAAGAAAATTAATGACATCAAAATTAGCAGCCACTTAGTTTTATTTAATAAACAAATTTGTTCCAAAAAATTATTTTTAAAAAATTGAATTTTTAATTTTTTTTAATTTCTACATGTTAATTTTTTGCCATAATTTATCTGTAATTAATTTTTATGAAAATTATAGTAAGTTTAATGATACTAAAATTAAGACATTTAATAATGTTTAGAACTTTTTTTAACAAATACATTTTCACAAGAAAAACTTATTTAAAAAATTCCATCTTAAAATATTCTAAAAAATTGAAAATGCAATTTTTTAAATAATTTTCTAGAACTATTGTCTGCTAATTTCAGTGTCATTAAGTTTCAAAAAAATTTGTTTTTATTTTAAACTTTATTTCATGCATGTCATCTAAAAAACTGAAAGTTAAAATAGAGTATAATATGTTGTTATTGCTTTAAATTGTTGGTTTAATAATTTGATTTAATTTTGATGACAACAAGTGAGCTTGATATTCAATTTTGAATAACTATGCATGAAATTTGATTGCATAACTAAGTCAACAGCTGAATTTCTGAATTAAATTACTCATAATTTTTAGTTTTTTAATGATTAAAAAAATTCTGATTATTACGAATTCTAAAATTTAATGAAAATAACTTTTTTTTTTATACTAGTAAATAAAAAATAATAATAATAATATGATTTGTGTCAATTGATTTTATAACCTCACACATATCATTAATTAATTTAATAAAATATTCAGAGTTAAATAATTACCATTTAATAGCCGACTGGTATGGAGACATAATTGATTATATTTAACTGGTAAAACAAAACGTGACACTAAATTATATGAATATTTCGAAGATATAAATCCTACTGTAGTTCTAATCATTTTTTCTGCTGAATAGGTTAAAAGTATATTTTTTCATATGTCACTGATGATATTAAAGGTTATTAAAGGTTGTATTTTAAGTTTGCATACACACACATATATTTACTGTCATTGATAATCCTAACACTATTTTCTCTATCATCAATTGATTTGAAAATAGAATTTATAATATAAAAGTAATGCTTGCAAGTCGTAAAATAAGTTACTGGTATGTTCTGCAAGATGTCTCACTAATTGTATGTGTTATGAATCCCGAAAAGATTATGAATGTACTAACTAAACACGACGAGGTAAAGTTATAATGACTAAGTTTTCCAACTTTCTAACATTTCTGACATTATATTTATGTGCATGCGCAAAATTTTATTTCAAGTATAATTGAAAATTGATAACTATGTACTGAATATAAATTTAAATCACTAGATTTTTTTTCAATTGTTGTTTTGCTGTCTGATCAATACTCGGTTCCTTTACTTTATCGACGAAGAAAATTTTTTTATTATACTGACAGAAAAAACATTACACTATACAAATTTTACACCGTTTTGTGTTCTTAGGGTCCATTTTTACATCAAAATTTTTTTTAGTGTACTGTTCCCTAATGAAATACTTACCTTAAATGAATTATCTGTTTCTGGCTGAGGACGAACTCTGTCTTGAGCTTGCAAGGATGAACTGAACCTTACATTCTTGAGATAGTTTAGCAATCGTCCATTAAATAGTTCCTAAAAAAGAAAAAAAAAAGAAAATTAACAATTTAAACGACAATGCTTCAAATCTACTTTTATTGAATTTCAAAATTTTTTTATGAGTATTTATTTTCTGGCTTTATAATGCTTAAGTAACCATGAACTAGTTTGAAGCAATGTTTATGGGACAAATTTAATTTCTATGAAAGTTTTCTCGTATAAAATATTTGTTAACTGTGGTATAAAAGTTTACTTCAGAAGTAATACATAGCTATAGTTTAAAATAGAACTCCATGGCAACAATTAATTGATTTATTCATATAAAAGTTCATATTCACCGAGCTGTTAACGCTGTTACAGCACTAAGTCGAATAGATAAATATTGACCTTTTAGAATTTTTTTCAACGTTTACTGTCAACTGGCCGAACAAAACAAAACTTATAAAAAAAAAAGGTGACTTTATGCGTTGGTAGTGCTTACTACAATTTTTCATTTTGTAGGACTAGAGGAAATATAATCTAATTCTTTTAAAACTTTTTTTTTTTTTAATCCATTTCCTCAGAAAAATTAAGAGATTCAAACTTTAAAAACATGTATTTTAAAATCATATCAAATTAATAAACTCAAAAAATAATTTTCAATTTTAAGATATACAATTTTTTCCTTATTTTTATAAAAAATAAATAACAACCTGCAGTCCGTATGTGACTGCTGGAATTTACGGGTTATGAATAGGATAAATTACAAATAATTTAATGGACAAATGTGATGAAACAAATTTATAGAACCAACAAACTATTCAAAACTTCTCCAAAAACTTTACATAAGAAATTTATTATCACTGAAAAATATATAAAACCTTGGAAAGGCACAAATTCTTATCAAAATCTTTCTGATGATACCAAATTTAACTATAAAAATTCCTTTAAAAATAATAATATGCTCGTCATAAAATTTTCCCCACTCCCTCAATTATTTAAATCATAAATGACTGTCGCTAAGAAAATATCTAAACCAATTTACGATAAAGATGTACCCGTTACAAAATTTTTCTTAATAGTCCCTTAATTATATAAATTAATTTTTGACAAAACAAAATAAATAAATAAACAAATAAGATTTATCGAGAAAATCGAAACTATCTAGAAAACTAGAACTATTTCGAAAACTTATCACAATAATTAACTATTTCTGAAAAGCATATGAAACATTGAAAAGGCACAAGTTTAGGTCTAGATTTCTCCAATAATACACTGTTAAAAATTTCTATTGTAATTTTACAAGAAATGTATTGGAAGCTAATAGGCAAAACATTTATTTAAAATTACAATCGAGTATAGTAAAATTACAAAACATATATAGCTCAGTGAGGTTACTAATTTTACAAAGCGGTTTTGTAATTTTACAAATATTTTTAGATTAGCTAAGTTTGTAAAATTACAATACTTTCCTTGAATTTTACTTGAATTGAAATAATAAAAAAGAAAGATTTAATTTAATATCTGTTGTCATTTTATTGTTATGAAGCGCTGACTAGATTTGGTATCTCACGTAGACCTAATTTGTTCAACTCAGATGATTTAAAGTGAAAATAATATATACCCTAACTAAAAACCGAACTCGAGCCGCGCGCTTGCCAAACCGATACCTAACGCCCTACGCCGTACGACCAATAGGTTATTCAACATCTTAGTATACTTATAAGCTAATCCTATGTGGTGATAAAGCATTACGGCTTATTATTTATTATTTACATTATTTGTGTTATTTGATGCTGTTTATTGATGGAAAATAACTGACTTTTACATTATTTATAATTCATTGAATATTATAAAAATTAAAGTCTAACATATACTCATTAAAATATATTGATTTCGAAATGATCGTTTGAGCATAATATTAAAATTTATAAAAAAGAAATTATGCCCCGAATTTATTATTGCAAATAAACAACCATAGACTAAAAATTAGTAAAAATAAATATGAAGGACATTGTCGTTTTTTTATACATCAGTCTCATTTTTGTAAAACTGAAAAGTATTATTTTTAAAATTGGAAAAAAGTGAAGTAGAATTACAATTCGTGTAATATAAATAAAATTTTCTGGTAACATTACATTGCACTGTGTAATTTTAAAATGAAAATTTTAAAAATAAAAAAAAGCTTTTTAAATGTTAGAATTAGGTAGGGCCTTTTAAATAAACAATACCAATTAATAGTTAAGAGTATTTATTAATATGTGCAATCAGTCTTATTTTTGTAAAATTGAAAAGTATTATTTTTAAAATTAGAAAACAGTGAAGTAGAATTACAATTCTTGTAATATAAATAAAATTTTCTGGTAACATTATATTGCACTGTGTAATTTTACAATGAAAATAAAAAAAAGCTTTTTAAATTTTTTATGAGATTATTGTAATATAAATTACAATATTTTTTTTATGATTTTACATACAATTATGCCGAATCAAATTACAATTAATGTTTGCAAAATTAAAAAGCTTTTTTTGAAAATTGACGAACAGTTCTGTAATATTACAATGCGTGTTAGGTTTATACAAGAAGATTGTAAAATTACAATACATCTTAGTAGATTTCCTGACAGGTGTTGGAAAATTACATGAATTGTATTTTATTTAGCATTGCTATACACTGATTTGTAATTTTACATATCATTTGTTTTGTAATATGATTGTAATTTTACAAAAATTTTTAACAGTGTACTAAATTTAATTTAAAAAACGTATTTTATCAGATAAATACACCGGAGCCGAAATTTTCCTTATTCTCTTAATTTTATAGATGCGACTGTTTAAAATTCAATAATTTAACATACCTTACGTTTGATGTGCACCATGATGTTTGTGTAAAAATAATTCCTCGCTCAAATGATGGTATTTTCTAAATTAATCAATAAAATAATTATGTAATAACACATATTATTATAACTTTCATAGTAAAGTTATATTTTTCCAAATGCTACAGTAAGAATTTTGTATAGAATGCAATATTACTGATTAAATTAAGTTAAACAATCAAGTAAACGTACTTAATTAGATTTACTGCAAAAAAAAAACATTATCTATTTAAAAATTATTGAAAAATAATTATTTTTTTTTTTTAGTTATAATAATAAATCAAGTTTATTATTGTAGCTGATGTTTTGGACTAAATTGGGTAAGGGAAAAGTTAACCCTCTCAGTAAAATTAAACTATAATTATTTTTCTTATAATTTATATTTATAATTATTTTTATTCAATCGTTTTCTAAAATATAACTCACAAATTTATCTTGAACGCGATCAGAAATATGCACTAATAAAATATTCCTAATAAAATCTAGAGTACCGATCAAATTATAATTAAGAGATAATTATATAAATTGAAGCATAAGATTCTAATTATAAACAAATTCTTATGTTCTCTTAATTACATATCTCGGAACACTATAATTATTAATTATAATAATGAAAAATTCCTCTGTAAGAGAGTTTATAATTCCAAACCGTACATTTATAGTATTAAATAATAATAATAAAATTCCGTAAGTAGTATAAACCAACGTAGGTTTTCCGGGTTCAAGTAGTGCAACGATATGTACTGCATGCAATGTTTCAAGATATATTTTTAATATATTGCACACGGAAAAATATAATTAGATGCTGTAACAAGAAAAAATCCAGTTGCAGCATCATGTGCTATCTTTCAACTGACAATATTGATTAAAACATTTTCATTAATTAATTATTAAAATATTCGTACTTGAACCTTCAGTCACATATTTTTTTCAATTTAATTCTGAGTTTACCGAGCGATTTTTTTTTTTTTAATAAAAAGTTGAATTTAACCACACACAGTAAAAAGTTTTGCGTCATTGCGTCAAAAAAGTTTTTTTTCTTTTACTTATATGTTAAATATATAATATTTTTTTGTTTTGGTTTGAGAGAATTAACATAAAAAATTGTTAAATTTCCATATAAAAGTGTTAAATATTTGATAGAAAATTTCTTGACGCAATGACGCAAAATTTTATTTTTACTGTGCATCGTCACTGAGAATTAATGTTGAACGAAAAAAAAATTATTTTACATGATTTTTTTTCTAGTAGATAACAAATACGATTAATTTAATTAATTGTGTAATATTGTTCCGTAAGTCTTAGTGCTGTAACAGGATTTATCCTGCTGCAGCGCCTATTTATTATTTTCTGTGCACACTGAGAGAAAAAATTTATTTTGAAAAAAATAAGCAATGTTGCAATAAGAAATTAATTTATTGAAAATTTTAAACAATTTTATTTCTTAGCTGAA